AAGGCTTGAATGGCATGTGCATCATTCCCAGTGATAAGTATGTCATCCACATAAATGATTAAGGCAATAAATGAAGTACCTTTATGCCATGTGAAGAGAGCCTAGTCATTTCTGGATTGAACAAAGCCAATGTCTGTAAGAGCTTTCGTGAGTTTAGCATTCCATTGGTGAGATGCTTGCTTCAGACCATAGAGGGACTTTCGAAGTTGACATACATTATTCTCCCCCTGGCGGCGAAGGCCCGGAGGGAGATCCATATAAATCTCCTCATGAAGATCACCATGGAGAAAAGCATTGTGCACATTCATTTGGTGGAGAGACCTATCATGAACAGCGGCAACAGATAGAAAAGCTCGAACAGTAACATGTTTAGCAACGAGAGAAAAAATTTCTTGGTAGTCAAACCCTTCCCGTTGAGTGAACCCTTTGGCAACCAAATGAGCTTTGTAGCGTTCAATGGACCCATCAGCCCGATGTTTGATCTTATATACCCATTTGTATCCAATAGGTTTCCGATGAGGGGGTCTAGGTACAATGTCACAAGTATGATTTTGTGCTAGAGCATGGAGTTCATCAGCCATGGCATGCCTCCACTGTGCATGAGGAACAACATTGGAATAGGAAGATGGTTCTTGTTCTGCGGAGATCTGACTGATACAGATCCAATGGGCAGAAGAAAGACGGTCATAACTGACATAGTTGGTAGTAGGGTAAAGAGTACTTTCGGCAGTCTGAACAGTAAGGCAGACATAATCAGCAGTCCAAATGGGTGGTCGGGTGGACTGTGTGGAATGGCGGGGGGTCAGCTCTGAATGATCAGGGGAACTGACAGGAATAGTAAGGGAAAAGTCTTCTAAGGAAGAAGATTCTTCGGTATGATCTGTAGGAACACCAGTAGAGTCAGCTGTGGTTGGAGAAGTACCCAGATCTGCTGTAGGTGGTATCATAAAATATGTGCTAGAAAGAGATGGGTGATCTTTCAGAAAAATTGATGTCTGTTGGGGAGGAATGGTGGACTGAGCAGGAGTGTCCATAAAAGGGAATGAATCTTCATTAAAATTACATCTCTAGAAATTAGAAATTTGTTTCCTATCTGATCATATAACTGATACCCCTTCTGATGCATAGGATATCCCATGAAGACACAGCGAGTGGCCCGAGGACCAAACTTGTCATGAGCCCTAAGATTAGTAACATAGCACAAACAACCAAACACTTTGAGATGACTAATATCCGGGAGTTTCCCAAAAAGAAGTTCATAGGGTGTCTTACCATTAAGAACTCTAGTAGGCATCCGATTGATCAAGTTGTGGCTGTGACCACACATTCGCCCCAAAAGGTGATTGGTATGTTGGCTTGGTGTTTAAGGGCTCTGGCGACTTCTAAGAGGTGTCGATGTTTTCGTTTAACCATACCATTCTATTGGGGTGTGTAGACACAAGAACTTTCATGGATAATACCTAAAGAGGAAAAATACGAAGAACAATGGTGATTAAAGAAATCACGGGCATTATTCGTTCGTATTCGTTGAATGGATAAATTGAATTGTGTTTTGATCATGGAAACATATGCCTGAATTTTGGAAAGGGTTTGGGTTTTAAAAGGCATGAGATAAACCCATGTTCCTCAGGAGAAGTCATCAACTATGGTGAGAAAGAATCGGGAGCCATCATGGTTAGAAGTGTGACAGGGTCCTCAAATATCCATATGAACAAGGGAAAAAAGGTGGGTAGTGGTTGATGTGCTGTGTGGAAAAATGGTGCGGGATTGCTTGGCAAGAGGACAAACCAGACAATGAGGTTGTGGAACAGAAGCACTATGACCCAATCTTTGGTGCAAAATCAAGGAACCTTTATTAAAATTTGTATTACAATCAGAGAATTTTTTTTGAGTAATACAAGACAAAAGGTTTTGAGATTTTTCCACAGAATTAGTGATCCAATAGTAAAGACCGTTTTGAACGTTACCCGAGCCCATCAGTTTCCTAATCAAAGGGTCTTGAAATTAAATGGCAATTGTTATCTTGACAGATTTTTGAAACAGAGATAATGTTAAATCTAAAGGCTAGGACAAATAAAACATTATGGAGAACTAAGGTGTTGGTAAGCTGAACGATCTGTATTTGGGTAGCGGGAGCCATAGTTCCATTCGGCATACAAACAGATGTGTAGGATTTTGTGGGCGTATGAGTGAAATATTTTGAGTTGCAAATGATGTGGTCACTTGCCCTTGAATCAATTATCCAGATATCATCTTTAATTAAATTGGGACAACAAGATGTACCTGCATAGGATGCTGTATTAGCCAGGGGAAGCTGACTAATCATCTGAATTATTTGCTGATATTGCTCAGGACTGAATGTGGGTAAGTATCACGAGTGTGATTCCTTCGTTTGCAATAATCACAATAACATGCACTCCGTCCAAGCTTATTTGGGCTTGGTCCATGTTACCCACTTGTTTGATATGGCTCATTGGGATTAAAAGCAACTGGCCCATTAGAATTAGAGGAACTTGGCCCATGTGATGGAATAAATGAATTTGGCTTGAAATAATTTGACCCTTTGGATGGTAAAATTGAACCTGCACCATTGATATTAGTCTTTGCCCCATATCATACTTTTGACTCATTCTCTCCCTGATCTGAAAATTCTTTTGCGCCACCACTACCGCTTTCACTTTGCACTCCATCATGGATCCCTTTTTGTGTGACATTGAAAGCAGCAGTGTCGCTGATGTGGGAGCCATCGTGTGAGTTGATACCTTGGCTCTCATCTTGCACCCCCAACTGGTAAGTGCAGCGGAGCGTCGGCACCGGCGTGGTGGCAAGCATCTGTGTTCTGAAAGGCAAAAAACTATCATTTAAACCCATTAAAAAGTGGATTAATCGATCTTGATCTTTTACCCTTTTAATTTGTTGAGTCATGGTTGGCGGCCCCTCAAGTGGTTCAGCGACAGCGTCCAATTCATTCCAGATTGCTGATAGGCAGTTGAAATAGGATGTCACCGATAAGTTGTGTTGTTTTATTTCGATGAGGGGCTGCCGCAAGGTGAACATTTTTGCCAAATCAAGCTGGCCATACGTCTCTCGTATATTTGCCCACATCTCTTGGGCATTCTCTGTCTATGGTAGTCCGACGACAATCTCCTAGGTCAGGGAATTGATAATCCATGCTCGGACGAGAGTGTTGCAACGTTTCCAGTGTTTGAGGAGGTGAGATTCGACCGATGGTTTTTTGTGATCAATGACCGCTGGAAGTCACGGGCTCAAGTGGCATAATTATTTGATCCGGTGAGTGGTTGCTTGACAAGGACCAATTCGGTTCCGTCGGACGCCGGTGAGTGGAGAGGGTCGTCGGGTTCTGGTCTATTGGAGTTGTTTTGGACGATTTGGAATATTGGGTTGGATGTCTGACCCATGAACTCGAATGGGTTTGGGTTTGGTCAGATTTTGGATTCTGATTTTGGTTTTGGTTTTTTGTTGATTGGTTGGATGATGGTGAGGTTGTGAGTTGCGGGTTGGAGTTTGAATCCATGAGGGAAGTAGTTTGGTTTGGTTAAAAAAATAGTACTGATAACATTGTGTTAAAAATAAAAGAAAACTAACCCAAGTGACTTGTTTGCAGGTTCTGGAAATCTGGTGAGGAAGGATTTGTTGGGAAGAAGGATGCTCAATCCAAAGGCCTTGATTCACTGACTCTTAAATTCTTGGCTAGAGAGGGCTTGTTGGGTGGAAGCAAAATTAAGCAGGTAGCTCTGATACCATGTTAAAATATGAGCAGGAGTGGCAAAAGGGGCAAACAAAATTGTTGAAGAATGCCAGAAAAGAGAGAAAAATTATGTATATTTCTTAAGTATTGAGTTCACATGATTGAGTCAATTTATACAGAAAATGTAAAGCTATACAAGGGATGTAATCAGAGTTATAAATGTAGAATATTTGACAGTAAAAAATTTCCTGATGTTACTCCTAGAAATCATGTCAATTGCTTGATTCCAGGTTGCTTAATTCTAGCAATCTTCCTTCCATATTTGCATGATTTACTTCCATATTCCATCAGATAAATGGAAATCTAAATCATCTGAGAAATGGGGATTAATTTCAAGCTTAAACCATGGCTGCCCTAAAGAGAAAACAAGAAACCCATCAAAGAAATAAAGTTGTTGAACCCAGTTTAGTTAGCAAGATTATGCTAATTAAACATGGGTTCAACGACTTGACACTCAACAGTATAAAACTCTTATGCTCTGTTGATTGGTTTCAAATAATTACAAGAAAAAATCAACTGAGAAAAACTAAAGAAAACAACTAAAATGAGATGAGAAGAGAAGAGAAGAGAAATGACTCACCACCCTCTTCTTCTTCTTCGTCTTCTTCTTCTTCTTCTTTAGCTGCAGAAAACCTCACTAAACCCAGAGCTAAGCCGCTCTGTTTTTGGATAAGGTTAGTGAGTCCATTCAAGCATTTAATACCAAATAAGTATTTCAACTCGACGCGCCAAAATAATTGATCATTTTAGTCACCTTTGGAGTGATTAGAGATGCAGAAACTGTTGTGATTGGATTTTTTTATCAGATGTTAATAAAAAAAAAAAATGTTTAAAGATTATTTTGTAGGAGAAACTTTAGCCTTTTAAACTGAATTCCAAACTTATGCGTTAAGAGGTTTTACAAAAGATTAGACGATTTCTTAAAAAATCAATTTATAAACCAAGTTGAATGCATCTTAATTTATGAAATAGTGCTACCTGTTCATGAAATAATGTTATATATACAAATTAATGTGACACAATTTTTTTATTCTCAGTTTCTCACATCATTTATCAAATTCTTCATTTGTTACTTTGTGTAAATTAGCATTTGTTAAGTTGATTTTGTGTACAAATTCATCCATTTACTTTGTATCATGTCAATTTATATAGAAAAATTTGTATAAATTTGTAAATCTAATATTATTCATTTGATTTTAAAATACACCAGGTAAATTGTAACTTCCTTCAGAACTCGTCAGAGGTCAATTCAGATTGTCCAATATGGAAAAATTATGTCCTGCATTCATACACTCTTTCAGCTATTCAGAACCCTCCCTTTACAGACAAGAATAAGAAAGGTACAGAATAGCAGAGCATTAAACTTTTACAAAATAACCCCAGTTAGACCTATTGACAACTACAAATTTCATTTTTCATCAGAACATACAACTCAAAGAACAATACTATATACAGAAAAGCAAAATGGTGTAAATCTAATTCAACTAATGATCCTAAAAAAGAAGCTAACACGTATATGGCAAGTCAAATATCTTGGATAATGACGGAAGAAGCCAAGCAAAGAATCCAAGATTTGTTTCTCCCTTCAATCTTTGCGATGAGTATTCTACCATCATATTCCAGAGGTCCCCAATTGTCCATTCATGTAAAAGAATCCACTGTGTCACCTGTATTCTGATGTCAAACGGATTCTCATCACCATAGTAGACATATATATTTAGCAAATTAAGATCATGCACAGAGAGAAGAATGTAATAGGCCTCATGACATGATGGTGGATAACATATAAGCACTTGAATTTACCTTGCGGCAAAAAATTTAGAAACGTTGGCCAGATGATGGTGTAAAAATGATAAATGACGAAGAAATTGCAATAACAAGAACAAGATAAATACTTGGCCCAGGTTCTGTAATGCCTTCATGCCACATGTATAGTATGAAATAAAAGGTCTTAATGCCTGAAAGAAAATTATTAATTTTTTTATATATATCAATGCCAAACAAAAACAAGAAATGAGCTAGGAGAAGCACGCACCCAAAAATATATACAGTGTATATATATATATATATATCGTGCCTTTACAGTATTCTTATAAAGAATTATTACCTGTGAAGCAGCAAGCCACTGAATTATGGCCTTCAGCTCAAGATCTCCCCCAAAAGACGCACATCCCCAATTCCCAGTCACAATCCCTGGAGATTCCTTATGTCTCAGAAACTTACAACTCTTCTGGTCAGAATTTCTGAGCATCAGATTTACAGATATTCCTTCATTTGTTTCAAAACCAGTTGAGGAAGCTTCATGTAACTATCAAAATTTAAATTAAGAAAACAATTAAAAATTTAATCTTTGATTTACTGTACAGAAGCAAGATCAATTTATTCTACATTTACAGAACTTCAAATAACAGTGCATCAAATTAGAAAGCTAGTCCAACATGTCTGTCAACATCCAATTGACATGCTGAGAAGATTTTAAATTAAGAAAGCAAATCAGTAGACAGAGTAATTAAGAAATCGCACCGAAAAATTATTCCTCGATATGTTGTCTTTATCCCTGGCTTCATGAGGTCCCATGTCTGGAAAAAGTCTCTCATATCGACCAAATTTAGATTGATCAATAAATCCACAAAGAGCCTTATTTGTCTCCCCATCAAAGAAGCAAGTACATATGATATTTGAATAACAAAGGAAAAAAAAAAAAAAAGAAAGAAGAAAATCTGCAGATTTTAAAGAATGAGATGGCATAACTCCTTTTTACTTTTGTCTCGTGTCTAGATATAGGAACAAACTTCATAAACCCATAAGAAAAAAAGGAAAGTTCTTTGAACTGGATGAAGTATGCAAGATGCGATTTGAGAGCAACAACACTCAACAAATCAGCAACTTGGATGAATATTCTGACTAATTTGAGGTTTCTAATGGAACTGACACGTATTCTCTAATTAATTTGTCGTGTGTATTTGAGGTGTTCAAAACAAAAATGTACATACCAAAGGAGGTATTTTAGCGCATATTGTTTCGTTCCAGGCCAGCATAATGCATCTATAGCAATTATCCTCGTTTTACGTCTACTAAAAACATAAACATTCCTTTTATCCGCATGATCACCAGAAAAACGAAATGACGGGGCATACATACACCATGTAAAGATGATACAAGTATCACATAATCAACTACAACACAAGTCGATTAAAAATTAATAATTCTTGTACATATGCTTGATATTGCCAACTTTTAGGGATATAAAAGATTTAAGTCATTTATGTATAATAATGAAGGATGAGAATCAAATAAAACGCTTAACCTAATACACGAAGACATAACATGTCAACATAATATCTTGATATTCAAGTTTTATAATATTAATTTATTGATAATTCCCAAACTAAGACTTGTTGCAATATAAAGGATTTCTAAACTACTTAGGTTTTACATTTATGTAGAGTAGTCATAAATGTACGAGAAGAATTAAAAAATTGTACTTTTTTGGCAAAGCACTATTTTAGTTTCAAAAAAGCATTTAATTTTAGAAAAAGTTTATTTTAACATTATACACATAGTTGGAACTATGGTAATACAGTTTATAGTCCTAAAACTTCACCCAGCAAAATCGTGTCCTTCAGCAAGAACCAAAAACTTCACTTTCAACATCTTTTATTTATCTAAGTATAAATAAGAAACATATAAAGTCAGTCAAGCATCCTATTATGTGTCTGTATCTCCATTGAATCAAATCTTGGATTTACCAGTTCAATGTGTAAGACTTACCCATTATAGTCTGAGAATCTTTCTGCACCAACAATTTCTATAGCCTCATTGTCGGCCATGGAAGGAAAGAAAAGCATCCCAGCAATTAATTCTGGATTGATCATGAAACAGATCTCTTCCTACGTAAGATCGTAATGATAATAAATATACTAAGAAATCATAGACTCTACAATTGAGTTGGATCCAAGAAGATAATGGCTCGTGTGACACATGAGAAGGTATATATTGCAGGAAAGCAACTTAAAAGAGAAGGCATGCATGCCAAAGAATAAATTCTTGGAAAATAAATTGAAATATAGGTGATAAAAAATACCTAATTAGGCACGAACCATGAAGGACTCGACAATCTTAATATTTAACAAGAAATTTTACCTGTGCACAGCCCCTATGAAGTGCACCACCTCCAATATACTTGTTTGCAAAATCCATTTGAAGAGTGTCAGTGGAGTGATCTTCTATTGAGCCTAAACTGTAAGCCTACAAAGTATAAAATTGCCTTATCAACAGCTAAAAGTGTGAAACTAAACAAATAAAATTGAACACAATAGATTATAGAAGTATCTTGAATTACCTCAAAAGGGCAGAGAGGAATGACAGATTTGCTCCAAGCGTCAGCATCAGGATAAGAGATGAATAAAGGATGATGGTCTAAAGGAAGAACCTTCCGCTCAAATGAGACAGAGCCAACAGGCATAGATGAGGATATCCTTTCAAAATAATGTACAATGCACTTTATTTTATTTCCCTGATTTTCACTATAACTTTCATATAGACTCCTAAAAAAAATGAAAGTTTTACACTATTCATTTACTAGCTTCGAGAATTAAATAAAGTTGTCAAAAGTAGACATTTACAAGAGTTTCAAACAAAATAAACCAAACTGAAGAAGAAATCAATTGATTTCATGGGATACACCTGAACCCATGAAAATCAAATCAACCATACAGCGAAATAGCTAACTCATGAAGTAAAACTTTGTGTTAAAAAAATAACACCTGCTCATAGTGAGACTTTAAAACAATCAGGTGAACAGGGAAATTCCTAATGTTTGTTTTCTACAACAAATGATAATAATCTTTACCCAAATCGTAATTACTTCCAAATCTTAGCAATTGGTGCAAGACATTCTATCCACCACACTATGCAAACATCCACAAGCCTCAATATCACACATATTGGAATATCCATATTTCACTATGATATTTCTAATACAGATGCATGGTATAGTTCAAACAGTCCACTATAAAAAAATAAATAAATAAAAAGCTTAAGGTTACATGCGCAAACAATTCATCAAAGTTGATGGTAGGAAGATGGTTTGCACCTCTACTAGTGACTAGGAACAAACAAAAGAAAGAGCATGCAAGAAGAGAACCAATCAATTCCTGGAAAGCAAAATTTACACTATCAATGATTTCGCCATATTAGAAAAACAACCGAAAGCGAAGAAGAATAAACAATGAAACCACTGGAAAAGGCCAAGCAACAATTTTTAAGATGATAAGATGTTGTCTTATCTAATAGATTAGATGACACAAGAAATATCAAGTTTTGCAGCACTTATGCAACTTATATACAGCATCTTGTAGTAGACCTAAAAACATATATTTATGCTTTGGCAGAGCCCTGAATCGTGTGCCTAACAGTTGATAGCCCAAATATAAAGATACCTGGCTGAGGAACGCTATGCCTGCTTCCTGTGGACCCAATATGCGGAGACCTGTTTTGATGTCATATTTTCCAAGAAAATCATCTGCATTTTGATAGTGACTTTCTAATAGAGAGGGCAACTTCAAGAGAAAATTTGCTAGAGCCGGAACAACCTCTCCAAACCACTTTGTCGATTCCGCCCAAGATATAAGCTGCACAAATCCTCCTTATTCAGCTTCAGATATAATAATGTCTTTATGTAATTAGCTATTCATTAATCAGTTCGCTAATATCTTATGCTTATCCAAATTATCTTCAAAAGAGAGCTTTTGACATACATTATGATTCCAAGCCAACAATTTCTTCATGATTATATAGCATAACCAAACCCATCAACCCAAAACTCACAAATTTCACTTCACATTCAAACTATTAAACATAACCATCAACACAGAACTCATAAATTTCACATCACATTAACCAAAATAAACCAACAAAACTCAAGTGAAAAAAATACCCATTAACACAAAATTCACTTTAGATTGATACTTCAACGACACAACTTTCATCCAGCCAAAAAAATAAATAAATAACCCATAACCCATCAACAAAAAGTTCATAAAACTCAACTCAAATTCAAACTATAACCCCAAATAATCAAGTAAAAACATACCCATTAACACAAAATTCATAAAACTCACTCAAATTCAAACTAAAAATCCAAATGAAAAATAGTGATCTTTTTTCAGGAGAGAAAGAATTACGTCATCGAAGAAAAGTGCGTAACCATTGAGGGAAAAAGGCGCGAGAGGTTCAAAGAGAGAGAGAGAGCTTCTGATGTCACAAATGGCCACAGAAATCACTTCTCCTGAGTTAACCCGGCTGTGTTCGGGTCCTTTCGCCATTGATTTAAGAGCTTCGACTACTTTCGATGGCCAAAACAGAGTTGATGATCGAACCAACAATGGCAAGTAGGGTAAAACCGAATTCAAGTCTTCTCCTTTCTCCATTTCTACTTCGTTTTGATGCTTCGCAGTCACTGTCTCCGTTTAGTTACATACATTACTGCTGATTGGGGTCGCGGCCTTGCGGGTGGTATTAATAAGTTATTTACCGTCTCCGTTTGCTTACATATATTTTTTTGAGAGTAAACAACTTTTTCCCACCCAAGGTTTGCCCTACTTACCTTTCCCATCCAAAATGTTTCAAAATACCACTTTTTCACCCAAAGTTTATATTTTGCTAACATCCAAAGCCGATTCTGGTCAATTCCGGCAGCGAACATTCTCTTTATCACCATCATTTAAAGCTCTGATTTATTTTCTACAAAACTCTTCTCACTCTGGTACCTAACTTCTCGTCTATTGTTGGCCATTATAAAGTTAGAGTTTCCTATTGTTAAATGATTTTCGCCTGATTTCGGTGGCGAATATTCAATCGATCACCACCATTTGATCCATTGGCCTCCACTTTATAAAACCCCTCCTACCTTAGCTCTTGGTAACTTGTCGAACACCGACTGAGGAAGTGAAGTGTATTTTGGGTATTAACGGAATATAAACTTTGGATGAAAAAGTAGTATTTTGAAACTTTTTGGGTGAAAAAATGTCATTAAGGCAAACCTTAGGTGGGACAAACATCTCCTCATTTTTTAAATATTCTATATTAAACCAATAATAAATAGTGTAATGACCATAACGCCCTTATATATATTCTTGCTCTTCAATTCGTTGAATTGGTACAACTTCAACATAAATTAACTCATACTCTTGTTTTTATACCATATCAAGTTTAAATGTTGGATAAAGTTTGGTAGTGATTTTGTTAACATCTATGAAATATGTTTGTTAATAGGATTGGACACATGAATATATAATATAGCAACAAAGAGAAAATCACTTTGCCCTCTATAGTTTCATTAAGCCTCAATTTGTGGAAAATTATCTAAGTTTTTGTTAAATGTTTTTGATAGTTTTAGAAATGTGTCAAAAGAGTCCCAAGACGGTGACGCCGTTAGATTTTTCCTATTAAAATTGACTTGTCAAAGGTTAAATTAATCATTTAATATAAAAGGATTTTAAACTAAATAATTAAAAAAATANAAACATTCCTAGTTCTGCAAATTTGTTAGAAGTGGGGGTTGAAAGGATAGTATTTTAAAGCTTTATATAATATTACGACTATGAGGTACTAGTGAATCAATATTTTCATCTCCTGAGCTTGTCATTCACATCCCCAACAATGGGTACTCTATAGATAATCATATCCTCGTTGCAAGGATGAGATTATCATAACTTACCTAAATAGTCCACAAAAAAAAAAAAAAAAAAAAAAAAAAAAAAAAAAAAAAAAAAAAAAAAAAAAAAAACTTAGAAAAATATCATTCTTGTAATTTATATTTAATGGAACATCTAAATTATGATATCACGTAACCAATGATGATATATACAAATGAAACAATATAAAATCAATTGGAATACAAGAAATATACATATACGCATGCACAGGGGCAGACCCAGCCCCTTGGAGGGCCTACCCTCACATTTTAGAAAAAAATTATTTATATAGTCAAATAAAAAAATTCTATTAATGAACTTATCTTTAAATTAAAAAAAATGAGAGATATTATACATATATCCAAACTCATAAAAAACTTGCTATTAATATATATATATTTCACACTTACATCGTATTAAAAGTTTTAAAAATCTCTCCACTCTTTTCTACGTCCATCTGTTTTTTATGATTTTATCCCTAAAATTATTTATTTTCTCATTTTCTCTTTCACTTTCTTTATGTTATTCGTTCTTAAAACTTTTAAAGATTGAAATTGTTAAAACTTTCACTCATTAAGGTGCCACGATTAACTTCGTTTTTTGTTTTCTCAATTTGAGGTATTTGTATTGCTTATTTCATTTTAGTTTATTTTAGAGTTGAATCATACTTATTTTTTGGAGGTTTTTTATTATAATTTGATAGAAAAAAGCATGGATCTTACGAGTTTGTTTTGTATTTTGTGTTTAAGAATGTTCCTACTTTCTCAAATTAAACCTTAACTATATTTATTAAATGTTATTCTTCGCCCTTCACTCACCATTTTCCTATATTTCAAACGTCACCGTTTAGCTGCTCAAAATTATTAGAGAAGTTTGAGTTATTATCTATGTTTGTACTAAGAAAATTTTACGTTTTTTTATTAATTCATATTAAAAGTCAAGGCAACGTTGACTTAATTTAAGTTTTGGTTGACTTTAGCTTAAGCTAGCTCTGATCAAAATCATGAAAATTTATATTATAATCTTAAAAGCAAAAAAAAAAAAAAAAGGAAAAATAAGAAATTTGAGTTGAACATTTTTGGTGGTTTGTGATTATTGTAAACTCTGTTAATTATATTTGATTTAAGTAGATAGTTAAATTTCTGTGGTCTTTTGCTCTCTTTAATTGAAGAGGTTTTTCCACGTAAAAATTTTCTTGTGTTTCCTTGTGAATTGAATGTTATTTTCAACATAATTTACTCACGATTTTGCTTCTCGTAGATTTATTCAAGTGGTAAAGTATCGTATTGTTGTATTATTTTCTTTCAGATTATTGATATTATATTATTTCTTTTGCTTAGGGTTTGTTGATTTTTTTTTTAAATTTTCACTAGTTGTTTGACAAAAAATGGCAGAGCCACGGAGGCCCCTCCTCAACAAAAATCCTAGTCCGCCACTACACATGCATTCCTCTCTATCACATAGATTTAAATTATCAAATATTTGTAATTGTGTCAATAATTTTCTTATACATTTATTACATGGACACAAACCAATTTCACATAAAGGGACATAAATAACATTACTCGTTTTGAACTAGTTTGCCCAATTTAGGTTTCGGATAAGATTTTTATGTGTTGGGCCTGACCGAACCGGGCTAAAGCCCGGATGTGAAATTTAAGAGTAGAGGTATTTTTACCCCACTAATGAACTAAAGAAACATCATTCTAATTTCTTAATACATCCCATTTCAAACTTCAAAGTATTAAAATTAAATATTTTTCTTATTACCCTTCATAAATTCTATAAATGCCCTTTCCATTTTTTTTTTTTTAAATTTCAAAAGAGTTAAAATTTTCATTCCTTTTACATATGTTATATACCTCCCACAATCATTATTCCTAACCAAAATTTTAGATTATGAAATTGAAGGTTCATAAAAAGCTAATTTTTTTTTTTTTTCAAATATTCCCAACAACATAATAGAGTTGAACAGCACAAAAAATATATAGTTTAAAATAACTACCAATACTTTGAAAAAAAAAAAACAATAAATTTATATGTAACTACAAACAATCTCATATTCCAAATCCTATTTTTATTATTCATTCTCATACCAAAAAAATAAAAATAAAAATAGGGTTTATAAGATAATAGTAGGGTGTAAAAAGTAACAGTAAAGGATAGGAAATTCAAGTTAATTGTAATAATTTAATATATGAATAAATTTGTCCTTACAAAATTCAATAAAAAGTGGGGTTTCTTTAATCCATTAGTGGAGTGCACCAGGTTATTTTCGCGATGATCTAACGGTGAATTTCGCTTTGGTTTTGCTCAAATTTCATTATGTTGTTGTTGATGGAAAGATCTTCACATCGAACGACCAGTTTCTTGATAACCATTATTTTTGTGGAGTTTTTCCTCAAGAAAGACAATCAAATCAAAGAGTTTGAGTTGCAGAATTTCAATCCATCTGTAGTTCAGTTTGACGATTGAAAGGTCATCTCTAGCATAATCAACCTGATATTTGGTTAGAACGCAGAGGACGTTTGGATCTTTAATCTGTTTTTTTTTTTTATTATTTTAGTGGCTAAGTTTGGAGTTATACAACCTGCAGTTCGGATGCTTTGCTGGTGATTTTACTTAATCTCTTTGTAAATCTTTTGTGTATTTCACTTTGTTAGAGTTGCGATAAAGCTCTGAGTTTGTGTGAAATATTTTTGATGGATTGTGGCTATTGTGATTACTTTTTATTATAGTGAATTTAAGTGGATCATTATATCCTGTGGTTTTTTAATCTCTTCACATTGAAGAGGTTTTTCTATGTAAATTGCTTATGTTCCTTGTGAATTTTGATTGTTGTTTTCAGGTGTATTTGCTGAAAGTTTTGCTTCTCACATATTCATTCAAGTAGAAAAGGTTTTGTTAGTGCATTCTTTCCATTCAATATACACTCATTTATTCTAATTTGAAAACATGAGAGTTTATATAAGATTCTGTATATTTAGTATTATTAATATATATTTGATCTAAAGCTAATTCTTGCTTCTTTTCTCATACTTTCATGTGCAAGTCTTGCTTTTAGGGATTATTAATATGTGAAGTTGATTAAGTTTGTAGAGGTTATAAAAGAAGTTTTGGAATCCAATTTTGCTCACACTAAATTAAAAACAGTATAAGTTAAATCGATGAATTTAAAAAACTGTAATTTATATTTTGTGGAGACTTCATGATCACATTTTATACCTTTTACTTAGGAAGAAAAATATAATAAACAACTTAAACTAGTACCCTATCAAAGATGTTGGGTATTTGGTTAACACACTTTGGCATTAAAGTACTCATTTTAAGGTGCAGCGGAATATTACCAAGTTGATTAAGTAATTCCAATTTGAACACATCAAACACAAGTGCGGAAACTAAAGAACACAACAATATATTAAATCCACTTTTAGCCTACATCCATGGGACTTTGTTCAGATCGAAACAATCTATTAAGTGAAAAACACATTACAAGATATAATTCAAAGCTGATCTAAGTTATAGTAAAAAGAACTCCCTTGTTCAACTTTACACTTAACACCACACTCTGAATCCTTAACGTGTAGCAACTTCTTCGGATCTACTTCATGCCGGGAACACACTCGTGAACAACTTGTAAACCATCAAACTTCAAGTGTTTAAGCAACGCACCAGCATCAGCAAAGGAACCACATTCCAAGAGTAATCAAGTCAATGTTTGATATGGTGAGGTTTTGGCACTAATTGAGAAAGAACCTTGAACCTTTAAGAGAAATAATACTCTAAGAAATTCAGAGTATGGAATGAAAACAAATGTTCAAAAAGGTTAGGTTCATTTATGCAAAAAGAAGAAATATATAATAAAGAGTTTCTTGCTTAGCAATGAAGTGCCACATCAGCCAATAAGGGGTTGACCCATTGTTTGTCCAAATAAGGAAAGTATTCGTTCTTTTGATTTGGACCACAAATCAAATTGAGAAAAATTACTTTATTCTCTAGGACCACCTAAGCATTTTGTGACATGTGTGAAGAAGTTCTAAAAAGTAAAAGACAAAGATAAACAATATCTTTTCAACTTTATCAGACATGCAACTCGTGTTGAGTGGCAAAAAATCTGAAGCGAGAGTGTAAATATAGACTGTTGTGCGCATACACTTGAAATGAAACAAGCTAAGATACAAGTCTAGCAAACAATGTGCACTAAGAACTGACATGCACACACAACTCATAAGTTTGACAAAAATGAATATGCACACATAACTCATAAGTTTGACAAAAATGAATATTCTACAAAAGAAAGAAATTTGTTAGTTTATATAAAAAATTTCAAGAGTTAGTGGGAAGAGTAAAAAATTCTAAAAGGCAGGCTTTGTGAACGTTTTATTCAAGAACTTGCACTTAAGATTGATAGTCAGCAGTCAGCAGTCCACAGGTTAGACTATTATAACACAAGTTCTACTCATTAATTCTACTTAGTATTAATTAAGTAATTAATAGTTTAATACTACTTTAGTCCACAGGTTAGACTATTATAACACAAGTTCTAAATCTGTGATTCATCTAATAGACTTGAGAAGCCCGTTGGTTACACCTTTTTTTTTTTTTTTTTTTGCCACTTTAGTAACGCCTCAACCATTGGATTGCAATAAATAAATGGCTGAAAATTTGTATTAAAAATTGAAGTCAAACTTGTAAATTGATATAGATTGACCCTTCATAAGTAAGTCCAATTAGACTTGATTAATTTTGTTTGTTGGATTCTATTGTTAAATGAATTTACATGTATGTAATACAAATCACTGTTGGTATTGATGAACTTGTTTTTCTACAAATTTAAATTGAAACTTCTCTCTTGCGATGCTTTCTTGTGGTGCTTAGCCTTAGCGAAATTTTATGGCTTGACGATGCCATTACTTGTTTAGCGTAATGTACTCGAAGAAAAGTTAAAAACATAACAGTTTCATGCGTCTACATATACTTCTGCATATATTTAAAAGTCAAACTTTAGTTGGCAATAGTTATATAGATTTTAAACGTAATAATTTTGATTAATTTTTTTTCTTCAAGTATTAGATGACGGTCACCTCATCTAATGATGATGTCAATTCATGTGCGTATATTATTGTATATATTTATCACCATTAGTAATATTATTGAAATATATGCAAGAACACTCCTTAATTTATAAATAATACTATTGAAAAATAAGAAAAAAAAAAAATTTAAAGAACTATATCATACTAACGAAACATTTAGAAGAATCAAACTTTATAATATCTGTTTATTTCATTTATTTCGTTCGAGTTACATAAAACTCCAACAGATACGTACTCAAATAAGTTGTTTTATAAAACAACTCTTTATGAAACAAGTACTTGTTTCATCACCAAACTTATAATAATTAACCATAAAAGTTCTGAAATTAAGCATCTAGCATGAAAGATTCTGGCCAGGATCAACACCGAACTTCTTGCAATAATCTCTGTAATATCCGATACGAGCGTTAACCTTATCAGGATGCTTGCCACCGCATTCAAGACCATTAATTTTCCGAATTGTAGCTCCAAAGCCCTGGTTCATAACTGAGTGGACGTTGTTCATCCAGAACCACAAGGCAGTCTTGAAGGAGACAGCAGGGTCATTGGACACTGTTTCCGGAGCTTTGAGTCCATCGAATCCGAGAGCTTTTCCGCAAGCTCCGTAGTTGTAGTTCCAGGTGAGCTGCATTGGTCCACGGCCGTAGTATTTCTTTCCGGCGACACATGGATACTGTTTGTTTGATTGGTCACAGTAGGCATTTGACTTGTCAATTTCTTCAGTGTAGCATAAGTCTGAAAAATTAATGGAGAATGAAGTCATATAATTTATTGTCGTTTAGAAAACTCACATAAATCAGCTGGTCTTCGGATCAAATCTTGCTCGCACCAAGTTGGAGGGTTTGCTCATGTGATAGTGTCTTTTCATGGAAAAAGGAAGAGAATAGCAACCAACTAAAAGAGAGAAACAAAACTTACGTCCAGTTTCATGAGTAACATGAGCAAAAAATGCAGCAATCTCACGCTTGGATTCAACAGCAGAGCCTGATCCAAATTTAGGAAACGAACTGGCAGCCTTAAGAAATCCATCTCTTTTGTAGAAGCTCTTTCCAGCACAGCTTGCAGCAGCTTGATTCTTTATCCCATCAAAAAATCCAGGTGTAACAATACTAGCTACATTTTGAGACATGACATTTTGGGGAATAATGGCCAAGGCAAATATTCCCAACAGGGCAAATGTGAGTAAATCTTTTCTCATGTTGAGAGCCATTAGTTTTGAGAGAGTTTGTTTGAGTGATTAATGAGAAAGAGAGAAGGGATTTTTGATGTGTGAAAATTTAGTGGAGAGGGCATAGCTATTTATAGATTGTTGAGGGAGTTTGCGGGTCAAAAATGGCGTTGGACTTGTCAAAGAAAACAATGAAGATTAGGGACGCGTTGAAATAACGGTTTAATCATCTTTAAAAGTCTTGATTAGTGGCGGAAAATTGTTGCACAGCCAATAGATATCTTAAAAGATATGCTCCACTAGCACATATACGAGTTCTAGTAAAAAAAATATTGAATGCAATACAAATTTATGTTTATAACTCATTGATTTATATATCAGGTATCTGATATGTATTTATGGAACATTTTTAAAATGATTTTTTTTTTTTTTTTTTTGTTTATGAGTAAATGACATGTTCACATTGAAGGTTTAGCGAAATCCCAGGTTACCACCCTTGGTTTCATAATTCCAGATTCTCACCCTTAAATTAATAGAAAAATGTTTAAGGTAACACATAAAGGGTAAAATAGTCATTTACACCACAATAAATTTTAAAGAAAAATAAGAATTTCAAAACAATCCTCCATATCTCAAATTTCTCTCACAAGCACCCTTTCTCTAACATTTCTCTCACGGTGGTCAGGTTTGGCTTTTGCATGGGCCAAAAAGCAATGGCCAGATGGTTGCTTCTTGGCCCTCACATGACGACCAATATCTCGCCACTGTGAGGGCCAAGAAGCAAGCTAGATTTCGGCTATCATGCGAGGGCCTAATGGCAACGAGGAACTTAAGCGAGTGCACGTGATAGGCTATGCGCACTGGAGTAGCACATAGGGGTGTGGAAATGACAAATAACGAACGAGAAGATGAATTTGAGAGAGTAATTTTAGACATGTAATCTGTAGAATCTTCTTTCATTAGTCAAATGTGTACAGTCAATAGCTCTATTTGTATGAACAAAAGGAAAGAGAAAAGTGATTTTTGGAAAATGACATAATATTGACCAAACAAAGTCAAATTACAATTGTAGCCTTTTTGGCGCATTAGTCAACATTCCCCCTCAAACCAAGCTCCGTTAGGCTATGAGAGGAATTCTGAACAAATCTGGTCAATATTCCCCCTCAAACCAAGCTCCAGAAGGCTGTGAGAGGAATTTTGAACAAATATGAGATGATGCAACATAAAGGTGCTTTTGGGTCTGTTTGCAGCAACATAAAAGTGTTCTACTGCACTTTTGCAGCATGTTTGAAATAAGAAAAGCAAAATGAACCTCAGCAATTAAACTGAAACATCACAGATCTAAATTGAAACCTCACTGATTTACTAATTCTTTTTGCAAAAACCAAAGTAACAAACATGCAATAAAACTGAATTGAAATTCTTTGAGCCTGATCTGAACTGCTCTGAGCTGTGCTCCATTTTGCATCAACCAAAATAACAAAAAATTGAGCTGCTGAAATACCACTAAGCACTGAGCTGCTACTTTTCTTTGCATTGAACCCCCCAAAAAAAAAAAAAAAATTCAAAATGCAATTAAACTGAACTGTTGCACCTTTGTGCAACTAAAAAGAGACATAAAATTGAACTGCTTCCCTTTTGTGTACCACTTAAAGTACAAAAACAAAAAATGTTGAACTGCTTCTCCTGTACCTTGGTGCAACTAAAGTGAGGCAAAACTGAACTGCTTCTCATGCACCTCTCAAAATACAAAACAAAGTGCAATTGATGCTTCTCCTTTGTGAACCTCTCAAAATACAAAACAAAGTGCAACTGAATTGATTGCTTCTCCTACACCTTGGTGCAGCTAAATTGAGGCATAATTGGATTGCTTCTCCTGCACTTCTCAAAATATAAAACAAAGTGCAATTGAACTGAAACACCACAGACTGAGCAGATTAAGAAGACTTAACCTCTGCTTTGCTCACAACTGTCAATTTCTATCTTAGTTTAGCAAATTGTGAAGCAAACAATGCTTTAGTTAAGACATCAGCTATTTGAAGTTTAGAGAGTCCATATTGAATGACAACCTTATTGGCTAGTACTTGCTCTCAGATATAATGGGCATCTATTTCGATGTGTTTGGTTCATGCATGAAACACTAGATTAGAAGCCAAAGCTGCTACACTAATATCATCACACCAAATCACAAGCTTGGTGTGGACAGGAACTCCTAACTCAGCAAACATATTCTATAACCAGGCCACTTCTGTGGTAGTTTGTCCTAAAGCCCTATACTCAGCTTCGGTGGACGATAAAGCCATAAACCTCTGTTTTCTTGAGCTCTATTAGATCAGATTAAGGCCCATATATATACAATAGCCACTAGTTGATCTCCATTAGATCAGATTAAGCCTCAAACATTGTGGTAGATTCTGGTTCAATAACATTCTGTTCTGTAAGAAAAACAATGGAAGGATGGACTTCAATAGTGGAAGGAAAGGATACGGTAGCTATTTTGGCTCTTGTCACCATAGGGTAAGTATTAGTAATTACTAGCTGTAGGGGAATATTAGAAACAAATGGCTGAGGTGACTGGGTAGGCTGTGCAGCTTCAGAGAATTTTGATAATGTAAGATCAACCTCAAGTAAGCAAGTGGTAATACTGATGCTAATGGATGGATAGGGATATAAGAAATGTCAAGGGATGCCTTTTCTAAAGGTTGAGTAGTAGGAGAGTGCAGAGAATTAGAATTAAAAGAGGTACTAGGAGAAGATGTGTGGGATTTTCTAAGGCTGGTAGAGCTAATATCTGGTGTAGGGATAATGTGAACAAAACAAAGATGGTCTACTGCTGAATTGTTGTTAGTAGACTGTTCTAATAAGCTTGGCACTACAGAGGGAATATAAGCCTGACTTGTTGAAGTGGTAGAATGAGAAGAAAGAATAAAAGGAAATGAATATGGTTAGAAGAAAAAGTGGACTCAGAAGAGGACTGAGGAATATAGTGGAGGAAGTAATACCTTGGGAAAAAGGAAATTCAGACTCTTTGAATTTGACACAGGGAGTAATAATGACTTTCCCATCTGGTTTAAAACACTTATAACCCTTATGAACCAAACTATAGCCTACAAACACAAATTTTGTATGGTGAAACTGAAATTTGTGGTTATTAAAAGGTCTAAGAAAGGGAAAGCATGAACAACGAAACACTTTCAAAGAGTCATAAATTTGTTGAACCTTGAATAACTATTAATAAGCTAGAGTAACTATAGGCATTCTATTGATGAGAAAGATTGTAGTTTCAAAAAATAACCACCAAAATTAAAGGGGCATACAGGCATAAGCAAGCAAGGTTAAACTTGTCTCCACTACGTGCCTATGTTTTCTCTCACAGCTACCATTTTGTTGGTGTATATGGGAATAGGAATGTCTAAACTTAATGCCTAAGTTAGTGAGGTAAGAATGCAATGCAATGTACTTTCCTTCTTGATCAGATTGTAGGCACTTAACTTTGTGGCCAAACTGCCTCTCAGCAAGAGTGTGAAACTTAATAATGATTGATTTAACTTCAGCCTTAGTCTGAAGTGGAAAAAGCTAAGTATACTTACTATAGTCATCCAAGAATTGAACATAATTTCTAAAATCTTTAGAGGAAGTTAAAGGGGCAGGACCCCACACATCATTGTGAATTAGTTCAAGTGGTGCAGTAGCTTGAGATGTGGATGATGGAAAGCTAGTAAGATGTAATTTTCCTAATTGACATGCATTACAAAAGGTGGATGGAGAACTGGACAATGTTTTAGACTTAAGTAAAGTATTCTTAGGTAAAACAATAATGATTTTATGCAAATGAGGGAATGAGGGTGTCCTAAACGTTTGTGCCATGTCATGCAATTAGTATCAACTTTATCAGCAGTGAAACAAGTAGCAACAGATTTGATAGGCACTATTCACTCATATTAGAAAAAGTTGCATTAGGAAAACAAAGATTATTATTATTATTAATAGAGAAGGTGTTACAAGGGATAGTATCCTTAAGCACAGACCAAGACAAATCATAATGTAAAGCAGCATTATTCTGAATACTAGAGTCGCACACATTCGAACAAGAGCTAGACATACCTTCATAAGAGCTAGACAGTGCATTATAACTACTGGACATAACTGGATAGGACTTGGACACAGCAGGACACCTTAAACATGATTATGGACAAAAGAAATTGGGCAAAGGAACATTCAACTGGTACAGGCCTCCCTTGAGTTCCCCTTGTAGTAATGTTGCTCTGGTCAACCTGTCCTTAACATAACAACAATCAACATTAAACTCTACAAGAACATCATTATCTGTAGTGAATTTGGAAATGCTTAAGAGATTCTTGGTAATGGAAGGTACACACAAAATGTTTTTAAGATATAAACATTTAGAATGAAGAGTACTAAGCAGAGAAGTATGGCTAGTATGTAAGATAGGGAGGTATGCACCATTACCTGCTTGAAGCTGACTTACACCATCGTAACTCTTACTGACACTTGGGTGATTTAAGTTTGTGGCAACATGATCTGTGGCTCCTGAATCTGTATACCACATAAGATCAGATAAAGTAAAAGAGGTGACGAGAGCAGAGTGCATGGTTGGGGAATTATGTTGTGAGTATGAGCGAGCAAGTCCATTACTGTTTTGAATAAAAAATCTTGTACCAGTGGTAGCAAGAAAAGCTTGATTGTTTCCTATCATCTGTTGACTAGGAACACCAAGAGAGGATGGTGGGACATTTTCAGATTGAGGTTGTGGAATGGTTGGGTTTTGGAAACTGTTATTGGATGAGTAGTGTTTGAACCTGTAGTAGTATAGGTATTAGAGTAATGCTGTTGAGGATTGGACATTGGTATTGAGGATCCATATGCAGTGGATGAACCATAAGCGGGGGAAGGTTGTTGAACATTAGGCATTTGTGGTAGTGGACTATAAACATTGTGAGTTAGCTATTGAGTTCCATTAAAACCACCATTGTAGGCACTATTATAAGCTGAATTGAAACGATGATAGCATTGGACAGCCGAGTGACCAACCTTGTTACAAACTTGACAAATTAGTTTGTTTTTGCTAAAGCTTCT